CAGACAGACAGATAGACAGACAGAGTCAGAGAGAGAGAGAGAGACCGAGAGAGAGACAGAGAGACACAGACAGACAGATAGACAGACAGAGGAGGGGGGAGGAGGAGGGGAATATTGTTTATGGCACGGAGGTGTTTCAGCAGGGCACATAACACCTTTGTTGTATTAATTATGCCCTTCTTTGTTGTGCATGTACGTGACTGAACATGGCATTTGTGACACCGCTGCCTCAGTAAAAGACCAGAAACGAATTTATTCTTGCAAGATGATAAAACATTGATATATCGTCATTGTCATAACATTGTGTTCAAAGTAGAGACCTGTAAAGTAGGCCCTAATTAAATTGTGATATAATATCTCTGACTGTAATGCATATTGAGCCCTTTTAAATGGAAATGCATAGCATAGATGCTATTCATTACCACAATCATCATCATCTTTATCATCTTTATTTTTACTCGCGTGTGTGAATATTGCCTACATGCTGGGGCTTACCCTTAAAATATCCTCGAAAGATAGCCATGAAGTCTCTGAAGTACACAGAAGTCAACCTCAACCCCCTGCTTGACGCTTAGCTCGAGCTTGTAAATCCTGCTTGTCACCCAATGTTTACACTGGTGTTCCCATGCAAAGGCCTGCACATGAGATGGTTAAACAGAGCGATTTGTGTTTATCTCGTTCTAGTTCTAATCTAGTTCTAGCCGTGGACAGGCAAAAGTGAACAAGCTAGCCACGAACTACTAAGGAATGTTTCTACATTCTAGAAAAGATGTTGTAGATCAAGATCTAGCTGTATCAGATGTAGGCTATGGTGTATTATATGTCAAACTTAAAAAGAGTAGTGGTAGAAGTAGTATAGCTATTGTGTATTCTTTGTCATTTTTGTTGTTTGTTTATTTCTTTCTATGCTTTCGTTTTTTATTGTTTGTTTTGGTTTGTTTGTTTGTTTTGTTTGTTTTTTGTTGTTTTTTTTTAAGGGGAGGAGGGATTGCTGTGCTCTCTTTTTCCCGAGTTAAAAGCAATAGCACTGAGGCTTGCTTGTCTTTTGTATAGATTATAATACATGTAGATTATATGATTTATATTTTTGATCTACTTTGTGTACAGGACATGTGTATGAAATCAATTGAACTGGCAGCTGTCCGTATACCGTAACCGTATACTATAATACTAATTACATGTCACTTGTACTTTTGTATAAAGTTTGATTTAAAGTTTACTGGCGTCCTTTGCTTTTATTTTTTTATTTCTTTTGTTGTTGTTGTTGTTGTTGACATTTTATGTTGTGTTTTTGTTTTTGTTTTTTTGTTTGACATTTTATGTTGCTTTGATTTGTTGGGGTTTTTAATGGGGGGGGGGGGGGGCTGTTATTTATGTTATTCTTTTTTGGTTTGTTTTGTTGTTGGTTTGTTGTTGTTTTGTTTTTTGGAAGGGGGGTCTTTGTGGGGGGGGGGGGGGGGGTTGGTGGTTTTGGTGGTTTTGCTGATTTTTTAATTTATTTTTTTTGGTGGGGGTTATCATTTTATTTTGTTTTGTTTTGTTTTTAAGATGTTCTTTGAAGTTTGATCAATTTTGTATGTTAAAAATAATTTTTCTCAAGAGTTCTCTCTTCTTATGGTAGGCTTTTTATGGAGAGTCGGGCTGGGTCATAATTTCACAATAATAAAATAATACATGTAGTACTTTCATTGGCTGTTCCTTGCGCCATTCAGTTGTGCAGTTATTTGGTCCATTTTAAGGACAAGCAGGCTAACCCAGATTTCAGGAGTTTCCAGAAATCTTGACCTACACCAAAAGTAGGCATTGCCCTACCCAATAGGAGAAGTTCGGTTTCATTAGCGTGTACATTTGTTTGGTTATAGAGAATGCTCTCCTTGTCTTTTAAAGAAACTGAACAAGGGGCAGAAACTTTACCTTCGACTAATTGTCTCAAAACACAGTATTTTTCGGGATAGCCCCCTTGTGCTTGAAAGCGACCATTTACAGTCCGATCCTCACATACATCGAAAAGATAAATGTGACAGCGACAGAAAAAGATTTGTGGCCAGGGGAAAGCAAAAGAAGAAAGTCGATGGTATAAGAAAAATATTGCATAAGGCCTACGCCTTTTCTTTTAAAACTGAACCAGTGTACCGTCCACAAAGATTCTAAAATCAAGTGTCCCAGAAGCTGCAATTGTCTCTTCCTAAAATGTGTTCTTATTACTAATACTAATAATAATATTACATGTCATTATATAGGCCTATTGTGTGGCAGCGTATTCTATCATCTCTGTCGGATTTTATCCAAACACCCCCCAACTCTCCCCCCGCCCAAACAAAACAAAAACGCTTTTCTTTTGCCTTTTGTTTATTTTCATGATTTTTACTCCTGCATTCACCGCAGCATAGAAACTGGGGTGACCATGTTGCTTTTTCCAACCTTTATTTTTGTTGCCATCGAGTTTGAGCTTTTCAGTTTTCAGTAGGCCTACAGGACTAGTGGCTAGTGGACTCAAACTCAATCATGTTATCAAAACTGTCTATAGCAGACAGAAATGTTTCATGTTATTCCTGAAGTACAGTTGCTACCGGATGCAGTATAGTTCTAATTCTAGATCATAAGACGCATTTTAACTTATTTACTTATTTGATCTTCTCACATTGGTCTATAACCTATACTACTCCATTATAGGCTATGGCCTACTCTATTGACCTACATGTATTATAAACAGGATTTCACTCTTTTTAAAAATATATTTTAGATGATATATCATCGGCTGAAAGCCAGGAATGTCTAATGTTCATTAAGTTCATGTTCTATTTTGGTCAAAATGCTAAAAATTGCAAAATTTCAGCAATTACCATTACATTGCACTAGAATCTACGTCTATGATATCAAACTAATTCTCCCTAGTTTCGTCACATTGGTAGTTCCTGATCAGTCTATGTCCAATTGTTTCCGCTTTATGGAGATCTATCATTTTATCATACTTTACGTCCTGCCAGAATGACTAAGTAGGCACATTATTTTCTTGCAATTTCTTCTTTTTTTCCTTTTTTTTTGGTAATATATAAGTGTTTAACGACGCTCACAGCTGCTTAAGGTCATACGAGCGCGCGGACACACCAAACATTTTCATTTGGTAAAAAATTTTGAATTTTGCCCAGGTGGCGGCCAAAGCCTACTCTTAGTCTTAGATCGATTTTGGACCACAAAGTGATCTTTAACGTGCGTAACTTGCCCACGGGACCTCCGAGATTTTTCATTCTTGTCCGAGAAGGCTAGGTGTAGATCTTTCCTACCAGAAGGTCAGGAGTGTGGAAAGACAGCAGTTTAAGAGGGAGCCAAGGAGTAGCAGTAGAAAGGCTGCAGAAAGAGTCAGGAGCCCAGTGGAGGGGGCAAAGGAGGTGAGGAGGTGTGGGAAGAAAGTGGAGACGAAAGCAGATGACAGAATATTGCAAAAGAGAAGGAAAGAAGGTGAAAGGAGACAATTTTAGAAAAGATAATTTTCCGTCACTACCCGGATTCGAACCCGGGACCTTTGAATGAAAGGCGAACACCTTAACCTCTAGGCTGTCTGACTAATAATGTACACATGATACTAATTTTGGATAATGAATCGTTATAATATCTGGCAAGCATAGTTTTCAGGCATTCAGGCCTCAAATTCAAAGACGTTCAGAAGTTGACCCTAACCTCTTTCCCCAGAGGAAATACAAAAATGGAAACTTTTCATCAGATAAGGAGACCAGTTATGGTGATTTAGAAAAACCACTGTTGTGTACTTTGTATGAGTACTAGAGTACGATGTATCAGGCTTTTTTAAATTATGTATTTTGTAGGTGTTTTATGCCCCCATCAACACAATTTAGATCATTTAGGAGGTGGGCTTCCAACCCTGCCTGTCATGGCAAATCCAGGCTGAGAGGAATACAGATACCCCATAAAAATTCTCCCTATGACACTTTAAAATCAAACATGGGTCACCTGCATCAACTACATGTCACAGTGAAGCGCCCAACCGCTACACCACAGACGCAAGTGATGCAAACAGATTTGAAAAACGAAAAGCCTAAAGTTACCACAGACACAAGGCATGCAAACTGCTAATATCAAAATTGAATTTTAAATTCTCCTCAAGCTCAACCACATGAATGTAGTGAGTACGACAAGTGAGAAGAATCACTGATGAATCAGTTGATGTTTTCATGACCAACATTTTTTTCAGAATTAATTTTACCTGCGACATAAGGTTCATAATCATATCCACAATGCTGGGTGCTCACAATGAATCACAAAGGAATGTATCATTTATTATGAATTATAAATTATAGGCTTAATCATTCATGTATTCACAACAATCTGTCTCACGTGAAAAGGTGCAGTTTCTAGCTTCTTCACTCTAAATCTAAATGCGTGCAATTAAGTTTTCACATATTTCTAATTTCCTTAAAAAACTAAGCTGAGTCATTTCTACGCTAAAAATTAAGATCGCAATGTATTCAATTATCCCAACAGATAACACAGCAAGAAGAGTTCAATTTTTGCGACAGCTTTTATTTTCAGTGTAAAATTCTGTGAAAATAGTAGCAAAGCAGGCGACTCTCATTTTTCAAATTTTGTCCAATAGTCCAGTAAACAGTTTGCATTTCTCCGTGAGTCACAAAAACAATAATTGAATGCAAAAGCATCTCAAAGAATAAATCATAAATAAAAACATCAAGGGTAACAAAAGAACAGATCTCAATCTGCAAATCTTTTACACTTTAAGTATGCATGGAAAAAGCTATGATGTAAAACATGGTCAATTCAAATCAATACTGGTGAGTATTTCAGAGTTGGTACAGGGAAACTGCAGCAAATATACTCTGATCGGTCTTCATCTTTATGACTAGATGTAAAATTCTAGTTCTGTACTTCACCTACAAGAAAGTTGTGATTGTGAACTGTGCTAAGCAGGACTATGGATGGTAACGAGCAGGTAGTCACTTGTAAGGCAGATCTATATACCCAACACTTGAAAATTCATCTCACAGTTTAAGTTGGTTCTCTTTCACAACTTCAGGGGTAAGAATATATTTATCTCAAGATTGCTCTCCTTTTGTGACATCAAGTTCATCGTTTACCTTTAGTTGTTTTTTTTCAAAATACTTAACAAAACAGAAGCGTGAAAGTGCCAAAGAAAAATATGCGAAAGAAAAAATCTCTTCTCAAAGGTTTGGTCCACTTGTGAGACAACTGCTTGCTTAATATTCCTCTGCTTCATCCTCCTCCTCTCCTGCCTCGGCAGAATCAACCCCAACTTCTTCGTAGTCCTTCTCGAGGGCAGCCAGATCCTCTCTAGCCTCAGAGAATTCTCCCTCCTCCATACCCTCACCAACGTACCTGGAATCAAAGTAGAACACAGAGTGAGTAAAAGAAGGCATATCTATATATTTCTGTTATTTCAAACATATGTCCTGTAGTTTTTAATTAAAGTCCTGTAAAGGTAAATCTAAAAAGTCCTGGAATGAGATTTTAACATTTTGATTGGTTTTGATATTACACCAAAGCAAACATTTTATTTCAAGAAAAGCAGATTCCATGTTAGACTGTACATTTGACAAAACAACATCTGGTAATTATCTGACTTAACAATGGTGCAAACGAAATTTCAAATAAATAACTGTCATATATGACAACACAGTAAAGATAATTAGGCTAGCAATACTAGCACATCAAGTTATGATGAAAATGTCAGGACACAGAGCTGCCCTTGCTGCTGACAATATGTCAAACACTTAATGTTGCTTTCTAACTCATACAATCCACTACTCCTACAGTCAATTCTGTTTGAGAGTGAAAAAATTCAGCTCAGTTAATCAGATCAAGCTTTACTCCATTATTGTCTTTCTGTCGGCAAGCCAAATTTTCAGGGGACGCAATCATGATCAGGATTCTGAAGGAATGATTCCACTGAATTATCTCCCTTAAACAGTAGACTTGACAAACGGATGAGGAGCTGTACACAAAGCACCAAATTATCAAAGCTTCCCATATTATAATAATTTGTGCCACGAGGACACGGTGGAAGAAAGCGCTTGTCAATTTTTTGAGCATATGAAACTATTGGTACCATCTTAAAACCTCTTCATCTGCCTTGCTTTTGAAGGAAAGAATACTCGGCTGTCTTGAATAAAAGCGGAGATATTTGTGATCGAAGGAGGTGAAGGTCGCCTTGCGTTAGAGATAAAATTATTGAGAAAATGTCCGCCAAAGTTTGGCAAGTTCCAAAGCTGCAGTGTCTTTGGAGCAAATTTACATTTTTGCATCTTCATGTAATCAACATTTTTCAGTAAAATCCAAACAGGAGTGTGTTTTTGAATGACATAAAAGATGTTGAGCCAACACCAAATTGGATAAAAACTACCTAACGAGCTGAAAAATGTCGGGAACTTCAATTTCATTATTTTGACGAGCAACTGATTTCACCAAGAAGCCACAGTGTTAATACACTACTCACCAATGCACAAAAGCTCTCTTGGCATACATGAGATCAAACTTATGATCAAGTCTGGCCCAGGCCTCAGCAATAGCTGTGGTGTTGCTCAGCATGCAGACAGCACGCTGGACCTTAGCCAGGTCACCACCAGGGACAACAGTTGGTGGCTGGTAGTTGATGCCCACCTGTAAACAGATAAGAGATGAAAACATCAATGCATGTGTTCTGCTACTGTTAAAAATTTAGTTTTTGTTTTAGCAGAGGTTTTACGGCGCTCGCAACTGCATAAGGTCATATGAGCACCATATTGTTAAAAATGAAATTATTCAAGATTACTGAACATGAAGAATACATTTGTCATGAGATTACAGAATATTCATCTGAATTTTATTTCATGAAAAGATTCTCACAGATCATTTTCTCAAATCATGAGATACGTTTAACATTCTTACTTAATAGGTACTGTAACCACTTCTGAGTATGATAAGCAGCTGTAATTAGTGACTCCATACTAGTACAATTTGTCACATTACAGTGCTGCTGATCATTGCTCTTATCACTGCAGAGAAGTTTCTGATTCTAGCTGTACAGAGAGATTATATAGAGTGTCCACAGTGTCTTTCTTTCTAATGCTGTTTGTAAAGACTCTTGAACATAAAACTTGAACAATTATTATAATAAAAATATAATCGAACCTGCTAGAACGGCCAACTGTACAAGACAGTACCCTGCATAAACAATCACTTCGTTTCCTCTGTTGCACATTTTCTACATAATAACATCATTGTGTAAGACGTCCACCTTTTCGCAACAACGGGTGTCTGTCTTAAGCAATTTCAACTGCAGATCTACAAAACCAACCCTAAAAAACTCCATACAGCACCTTATTTCACCGAATCCTATGTCAATTTACCTTGAATCCAGTGGGACACCAGTCGACGAACTGGATGGTCCTCTTGGTCTTGATGGTGGCAATGGCGGCGTTGACGTCCTTGGGGACGACGTCACCACGGTACAGCATGCAACAGGCCATGTACTTGCCGTGACGAGGGTCACACTTGACCATCTGGTTGGCTGGCTCGAAGCATGCAGTGGTGATCTCAGCCACAGACAGCTGTTCATGGTAAGCCTAGGAACCAAAAAAACTTACATTGTAGGTTACAAAACATACCCACTCATTATTTGCAAATTTAAGTGTTGAATGATTTAGTAATGGCATCCCATGAAAAAAAAATTACTTTGCAATGCAACTTAATTTTTTTGCTTCCTCCTACAATTTCGATGCTCAAGCATTTGACTAAAAAAATGTACTTCAAGAAGTCATATATCAAATTCCCCAAACAAAATCAGTATTCAGGATGAAGTAAAAACTTCACACTTCAAGAGTTGCTTCGCAGTACAATTTTACTTAAATCCTCATATTAACCAATTCAATATTTTAACAGCTAACATATTTTTTATTTTTTAAGCCACTATTTCTATGTTTCCAATGGATCAAGAGTAGCCTACCTGTCATTTTTGTACACAACCCCACAAATACAACATCCTGCCAAACAAAATATCAAAATACCTTTTCTGCTGAGATGACAGGGGCGTAGGTGGCCAGGGGGAAGTGGATACGTGGGTAGGGCACCAAGTTGGTCTGGAACTCAGTCAGATCCACGTTGAGGGCACCGTCAAATCTCAGAGAGGCGGTGATGGAGGAGACAATCTGGCCAATCAGACGGTTCAGGTTGGTGTAGGTGGGGCGCTCGATGTCCAGGTTACGGCGGCAGATGTCGTAGATGGCCTCGTTGTCGACCATGAAGGCGCAGTCAGAGTGCTCCAGGGTGGTGTGGGTGGTCAGGATGGAGTTGTAGGGCTCGACCACAGCAGTTGACACCTGATCAAAAACAAAGAGAGAAGCAATTTAATGCCATAGCTTTGCAACTAAACAACTGTCTTAGTCCAATAAAAACGTGAACAGGCCTTTTACTTATGGGTTCTTGTGTAAATCTCTGGACCAGATATGTTAAAAACTTAGCAATTTAACATTTACGAACAGGAACATACTTAAAACTGCATAAAAAATACTTTTCAAATTCAACATTCACCTTTTCAACATTCTCTAGCATAAGAACCCAATATTGATTTTCAAATTGAAAAGGACATCATGGTAATGGCAACCAAAAGAAAAGCTTGGAATTGAAAAAAATACATGAGCAGGTATCTTTGTTCACAGGGTGAGTGTTAAGTGAATCCTCGATTATTTCACGAACTGCAATTACATCAAAATCAAAAGACAGTTGATTAAAAAAAGCATGATAAAATACCTGGGGTGCTGGGTAGATGGAGAACTCGAGCTTGGACTTCTTGCCGTAGTCCACGGACAGACGCTCCATGAGCAGGGAGGTGAAGCCAGAGCCGGTGCCGCCACCGAAGGAGTGGAAGATGAGGAAGCCCTGGAGACCTGTGCACTGGTCAGCCAATTTCCTGATGCGGTCAAGCACGAGATCAACGATTTCCTTGCCAATGGTATAGTGACCACGAGCATAATTGTTAGCAGCATCCTCCTTACCAGTGACTAGCTGCTCTGGGTGAAACAGTTGACGGTAGGTTCCTGTGCGAACCTCATCTGGGGATACAGAGAGTACTAGTGTTACAAAAGGTACTCAAAGGGATGATGCACTGACACTAGTTCTTGGCTGAATTGCCAAAAACATCATTGGTCATTGATACCTCAATCGCTTCCTTTTTTTTTTATTAAGTTCCAAACTCATTTATGATTTACAATTCTCCTTCTCTTCGTTTCACTTCTTTGGTTGCAGTGCAATTTTTAAAAGCTTTAACTGCAGAGTTGGCAGATTTTGCAACAAATCTACAACAGCATCAATAGCACAAAAACTTAAGAGGCTTTCTGTCTTCTGAACTAGTTATGTGAAAGTGGAATTTGCTTTCACCTTCTTCTAAGAGGTAAATAACTCATTGCAATAATTAGAAAAAGTCTTACCGACAACTGTGGGCTCGAGATCAACAAAGACGGCTCTGGGAACGTGCTTGCCGGCACCAGTCTCGCTGAAGAAGGTGTTGAAAGAGTCGTCACCTCCGCCGATGGTCTTGTCTGAGGGCATCTGGCCATCTGGCTGGATTCCGTGCTCCAGGCAGTACAGCTCCCAACAGGCATTGCCGATCTGGACACCTGCTTGTCCAACATGGATGGAGATACACTCACGCTGAAAGGAAAAGGAGAAAAAAATATTTTACTATTATACGGCTAGTCCAAATGGCAGGGAAACGATTCATATTTTCATCCAAATGTAATTTTTTTCTACAGTTCTTAGTAACTCCCACTTTTTTTCATGAAATCTTCAAAACAACTTGCAAGAGATCAGAAAAAGAGCCTTAACACCTTGCCGTCACTTGTCGCAATAATGCAACGGTGAAAATGATTCTTTCCCGATACGTGGCAGAGTTCTGCACCAGGCCCGAGAAGTCCGTTGCAGTCACTCTCCTGGCTGAGTGACCGGATGGGCCATTTTGTACTGCTGGCTGTGTGACTGCAAAGTGTTAAACATAGAAGTCAACAACTTGTATAAAATATATTCAAACTCCAAGGCCCGCATGCATTGCACCCACACTGCTTGGTTCTGGCCAAGAAAGATGTTACATTCAGAGATCCTTCCTCTTAGACAACTGTATTAAAAGGGGCTTTTAATCCCATACCATACTATCTATATGATGAACGGCATAAATATTGGGCACGTGGGTCCTGCATGAAGGAAAAGGACTGGACTGAATGCATACCTCTCTATGCACCCCCCACCCCCCTTCCTCCTTCTTTCCACTTCTATCCGTCTTTCCTTCCTTCCTTGACAATCAATTTGACAGAAAAAGCACGCAGACAAAATGTGTAGCAGCAGAGCCATTGTTCTTGATTTTTTTCTTTTGTAAAACAAAACAAGAGAGCGAAAAATGCTTGCTCCGCATATACTTTCTCTTTGCTGCGCTTTGTTTAGTTGAATTCAGGTTTCTTCTTTTCTTTTCTAAACCTTTTTAAACCACTCAGCGAATACAATGGGCCTACATTTACACTGCAGAAAGGTCAAACTGCTACAAAGTACAAAACTGCATAGTGGCATGCTAAAACAGCACAAAATCAAACAGGGCCCTTGGGATACACCATCCTCCCCCCTCCCCCAATTCCCCCAAAAATAGCTCCCCTGGGCTGTGCAAACAGATAGGACGGCCAGGTTGACATCAGTTGATGAGTGATCTCATGCCACAGGAATGCTGATGGGCAAACCCCTTGCAAGTTGCCAAGTTAGTTCACTGACCTGCCCCAACCCTTCCTGGTGTCTGTCTGTTTCTCTCTCTTAATCCCTCAACTTACAAAAATACACTTGCATAAAAATTCCCTTTATATGCCTATAAATTCTAGTATTATTTATCTCCCTGAGAGCATTAAAATAAAATATATTACATTATGTACAAGATGTGGATATAATAATATGTTTCACAGTTTACTAACATAAGCCTCCATGGCAAAAAGTGATTTATAAATATGTCCTTCTGCCCGCTACACC